CACACACACACACACACACACACACACACACACACACACACACACACACGGTTTGCCTCCCAGCACACGAACACCAGGAGGACAGGTTTGAAGTGTATGCATTCCTTTCGTAATGTCTCCTCTTCTGTAATGTTGTTTTACTCCAACAGTAACTGTGGTGTTGTTTTAACGACTTTYGTCAGACCCAATCAATGCATTTTATCTTGCTGTTCCTGTTGGCTGCAAATTGAAAAATGCCCCTGCTGAGCATTATCTGGGAGGTCTGATAGGCACACACCTGCACAGGTAAGTTTTGTTTCGCACAAAGCCAGATGATGTTAGCTTGATTTATGAGGAGCTTCTTTTGGAACTGTCATATCAATGTCCAAAACTTATCTCTGCACTCTGACATTACCTTATAAGAACAACTGCGACTCTTTGCTGCTCCATTCAGTTGGCGGATGTCTGCAAGAGGCAAGTAAACACATGTTAATATAATCAAAGAGGGTGATGCAACCAGAAGTCACTTAACAAAACATTTTTCTAACGTGTTTATTCAGCAGCTGGAGATTAAGATGCTTGTAGGACTTGTTCTGAAAAAGTCTATGTGCTTTTGTGTACAAACAGGTGTTATTAATAACTCAGGACTCTTCCTTGTCTGTTTCCACAGAAATATGATGATTCACCAATACACAGGAAAAGTACACACCTTTAAAATGCATGAATAATGACCCCGTTTTCCGGTCAAAGCACGCTTAAGGCAWGGTGAAAAGCTTTGTCTGTGACTAAAGAAAATAAAAGTTTTTCTTTCTGAAACGAAAGACACTAGAGATGACACATCCTTCATGCTAGGAGAAAAGGAAGCCATTAAACTTCACTCTCAACTTGATGGGTGCATCAGTGTGGCCATGGGTGACTTGCACATTTGGGGAGGCATCGTTAATGCTGGGTGATATATGTACAGGCTGTGGAGCAACAAATGCTGCCTGATAGATGGACAGAGTTGTGCAAATCCAGTCTTAAACAAAGATTGATCAGTCCATGCCAGTAAAACATTGCACAATGTCAGTCAGTTCCGCTGAGGTATTGCCATTCTTTTATGTGGCAGCCATCTTGAATCAAGTGGACTCTTGAAGTTAATCGGTTGTGGATTTCAACTAACCAGTTAAATTCTATAAGTTTCACTAAAGTCTGCTTAGTGATTCAGACCATAAAGGAACAGATAAATGAACAAAGACACACATCCACACACAGTCAGGCTTTGCTCCTTTTGTCTTTGATGATGGGCAATAATTAACAAGCAGATATTTATAGATCTAATTTGTTTGTTCTATTTTAAATGAGCTGAAATAATTAACAAATTACTAGATTCTATTTTAATACACGGCTTAAACACTACGTATTTTCAGGAAAAGCAGAAAATAAAAATAGCAGTTTGTATTGCCTCTTSATATTTGCAGCACTGTCACATGGTGCTGATTGATGCAGCTGAACCACATTGCAGCGGCCGCTTTCTGATTGGTTTGTCCACCGGGTTACTCACCACGACCGCACGCTGTCACTTTGATTGCTTCTGCTTTTTTATAGTGTGTGTGTGGTTAGCAGTAGCTTTCGGCTCGAGAAGACCGGTGACKCTCTGATTGATAGTGGATGTGGTTCCATGATTTCACTGTAAATCTCTCAGAACAAAACTTCAGTATTTGAGCATTGTGTCCTGACCGAGATCACCCTGCAGGCTCTTTGTGACCAAGATTCTTCTGAGGAAAAAAACTGCCATCACTTGAACACTTCCTTTTGTTACACTGTGTATTACTGAACATTTTTCCCCCCCACTGAAGAAAGGCACTTTTCTTTCCTTTTCTTTGCATTCAAAAGAGCCACGGGACTATTTAAGAGAAAAGAGGTGAAAGGTGGCAGGGAAGGGAGGGAGGAGACACTGGCAAGCTTCCTAATCTTCTGCAAGTCAAGATTCAACACAGCTTTAAAGGACACTTTGCTTTTCTCTGATTCCAACTTTGCTTTCATCTAATAGATGGTGCAAAGATCACAGAGCATACATATTCCATAAACAAAAACACTTTGCAGACCTTGAGCATGGCTGCTTTTGGAAATAAAATGACCCCAATAAACAGAAATAACAGCTACCTGCTAGAATGAGGTCTCCGCTGCCTTGAGGTTCCATCTACACACGCACATTTGCCAGGGACTTTGGCGTAGTTTATACCTCAAAGGCAGGAAAATCAAAAGCTGTTTGTAGTCACAGTTTTTTTAAGGGGGGAGGTCGTTGGCGTCCTGTGCTCACAACTCTGTACAGCTGAGGGTTCCTGGCGACAGTTTCACGCCGCTGTCTGCATCAATAACTCCGCACCATAGTGATGGACACAATAGCAGCCTAGTATGAACTGAAGAAAAAAAGGTGCCACTCAATATTCCTCCCTCATCTCCTCACTTCTTTCTCGCTCTAAGTTAACAATGTGRAGAAAAATAAAGGACTGTAGGGCACAAATGTCTGCAGAAGCCATGGGGTTTATTCCCTCCTGATAATGCACACATTTATTAAAGCTAATGCTAAATGGTAATAGTGTCGTTTTTAAAAGGGATGGTTTGTAAAATTGAGAACTGAGAATGAAGGAATGATAACTATCAATACTTGGCAGACCATCACCTCAAAAATGACAAGGCTAACTCTTTTCAACTATAATTCTGTGGAAATGTTATGAACAATTAATGTCTTTTGTGTTGTGGATAGCATTTTAAACAAACCCAGTTTGGAGAAAAAGTTTAATTCTGACAAACTGATGAGCTACTAGGCAAATATAGAAATAAATAAAATGTTTTTTCTTGCTACAGAGGCCCAAATAAATCAATGTGAGGCCAAAACACAAAGCAGATTGCTCCAATCTGAAAGTTTTGACAAGTTTACACAAAAACTGACACCTTTATATCACTGCCATCTTCCCATACAGGCTGGAGTTCCTGCASGAAGCTAACTGCTGTGTTTTGAGCTTGTAAAAAGCCACAGAATTCTATGGAATTTACCTTGTGATGCAAATTTGACAGCAATGTCAAGCAGCATTGGCATGAATAGCTACGAAATGTATTTGGCAGCAGTTGTTATATTATGATGGGAATTAAATTGAAGCAATCACTATTTCCTTAAACTGAGGTAACACAAAGTGCTTTCCACAACAACATATTAAATGTTCATGACTTTTCCAATGAACCTTCTTTAAAACAATGAACTATCACTTTAACTGCTATTCAAAATATATTTGGCAAGTCTCAATATTCAGTTTAACCTATCTTAAATGCAAAAATGATATGGACAAAGCTGCATGTGACAAAGAAAGATTTTCGCACAGATTTGATTTACTTCCATTCTTGACACTCACAGCAGCCACAACACAGGAATTAGTAGGCCACAAACATCAAACATCTACACAAAATATATAGAGATTCGCAATCATTTTGTCTAGAATGTTTACAACAGATACAACCAAAACAAAAGAGAAAAAAACTACCATCTGTCAAATACAGACACAGTGCACAATTTACTTTGAGGTATCTCATACAAACAGATCTTCAATGTGTTGATGGAGTCGCAAAGTAGAAAAAAAAGTTTTGTGACAAATTTTTTTTCTTTTCTTTTCTTTTTCGTACGGCAGGAAACACTCGGGTAGTTCGAACTTGCTGTGGTGAGTCACTGACACTTTCACATGACACTTGTTTGGTACTGGACTCGTGCGATGAAGCCGTGAAGTACTGAAACTGACACCTAATAAAACTAAATGATCCGGACTGTCACAACATCCTGTACAGTACACTTAAAAATACATCAGATGTAGCATCATATACACAAAAAATACTGCAAATATCATCCTATTTACGTGGCAAATAGGTAAGTAAGAGAAAATGTGTGGTACAGAGCCTTTGTAGACTTTCCTCAGTTGACAGAAAAGTAATTAAACACATTTTATTCTCTGCAAAAGATGGAGAAAAAGACTGAATGGTGGAGCAAAAAAACTTGGCTAATAGTGCATTACAATGGCTGCTTTGCATATGTACGCAGCAAACTCAGGTTCAGTGCATTYATTACTCTGTCTAAAAGCCATCCCAAATTACACTTCCTTATATTTAAGCTCTCACCATCTAAATAGGTATTGATTACCCATCAGATCAAGGCTAGAGAAGGTGCTATCCATCTTAGATTGCAGAACAAATGGATTAACAGGAAATTTTTGCCTGTTGGACAATCTATTTCCCCCCAGCTGTGCTCTTCACATTTAGTTCAAAATGTACATAATTAAAAAAGGAGAGTGATGGCTCTAATATTTAAAGTACAATATAGGACAGTACAGTACAATAGCTTAGTAATGCCAAAAGGCTGCAAGCAAGCGATGGTATCTCAGGGTTAAATGGAGTTTTTAATCCTACAGCTCTACAAACCATCATCCCTTAAATTTGACCCTCAGTCTTCAGTCTACACAGTGCCTTGACTTATTTAATCCTTTTGTCTCAGAAGCTAAAAGGAGGCGTCACAGTCTCCGGTCGCTGTTCTCCACATACTCAGCCAGGCTGTTGAGCGCCGTGTCCTCGCTCTTGGACTGAAGGACGTTGTCGCCTTTCCTGGAAGTCTTTTTGGTGGCCCGCGACAGCTTCCTCCGGAAGGTGTCTCCAGCCAGGAAGTAAAGAATGGGATCMACGCAGCTGTTGAGGCTGGCCAGCCCCCGCGTCACCTGGTACGTGGCGTAGACGCGGTTGTTGAACTCGCACATGTCCGGGCTCTGGAAGTACAGCCTGGCCCGCATGTTGAGGTTTTTCATGACGTGGAAAGGCAAGTAGGAGACGGCGAAGACTGCGAGAACTATGATCACMAGGTGGATGGATTTCTGCCGCAGGGGGGCGTTGTTCATGTCGTTGCAGATCAGYGCCTTGACGATCATGCCGTAGCAACAGAATATGATAATGAATGGGATGCAGAACCCAAACACAGTCAGAATCATGCTATAAATAAAATAACCCGACAGCTCATCCTCGGTGGTCGTGTCATAACAGGTGGTTGAATTACGTTTCGGACCAGTCCTAGAGTAATAAAGAATTGGGGACATGCCTATAACTACTATCAACCACACCAGCGCACTCGTGATAACTGCGTTCTTCTTCTTCAGCCGGCCTAAAGACTTGAGCGGATGCACGACCCCCGTGTACCTGTGAACACTGATGCAGGTCAGAAACAGAATACTTCCATAGAGATTCACGTGGAAGATGAAACGCTGCAGTCGACACAGCACGTCCCCAAATATCCAGTCGGTTTTGTTGAAGTAGTAAAAGATGAGGAAAGGCAGAGAGAGGACATAGCAGAAATCAGCCAGGGCCAGGTTGAACATGTAGACCGAGATGCCGCTCCAGGGTCTCATGTGGAACACAAACATCCATATGGCCAGGCTGTTGCCCACCAGCCCGGTGATGAATACCATGATGTAAACCGTGGGCAGGTAGTAGAACTGAAAGCCAGTCTTTGTGAGGGAACATCCTCTGCTTTGGTTGCTTAATGTTGCATTTATCAAAGAGGTCAAGTTCAAGTCTGTGGTCATGGTTTCAGGGGCAGAAGCTGGTCCAGTTACTGCGGGAGACAAAATGTTTCATGTTTATTCTGATTTGTGGGATTAGMTGGTTTCTAATAACACAAATGCAAACAGTTTTTTTAATGGTGGTTTCAGTTTGCAGTGCAAACAGAACAAGTATCAGAACACTTACCGCCAAGATAGACTTGTTTTCCACATTCCTACAGTTTGCAAACAGATTTCAGTCCGAACGCACGGTCGGGGCGTTTTTCAGCTTCCAGGTGTCTTCATTCAATCCTCCAACAGCGACACAAGATACGCAGCAAATACTTCAGAAGTTTTCAAATCCTTTGGGTTTGTGGAGCAAACAAAAGTCCTCCGTCGGCTCCTCCATGCGCTGCGACGTTTCTCCCTACAACAGACAGCTGCAGGCTCTGGCACAAAGAGCAGGAATCACACAAACAGCCTGCGTGAATCGCGGGGAGGCTCTGCCTCTGCCGCGCGCGCTGTGGAGCGGAGAGGAGCCGACGGGGGAGGCGCGCACTCACACCACRCCAAGCAGCTTCCCGTGTCCAAACGCGCCATTTCTGAGCCCCCCACGCCCCCTTCTCATGCAGTTTATCAGATCCTCACCTTTATCTGATCTAAAACTTACAGCACGCACTTCTKCTTTACCGACAAGTGGGCGCTTGASTCGAAAWGTATGGCAAGYCGTTTGAGCATTTAATACCACCTGTCATTCAGAGAAAATCACACCCAGAACTTTAATTCATTTCAGTTCAGTTGATTCAAATATTCTTTTTTAAATCATCRCGGCCATTTATTTACTTAGTTATTTATATATTTTGGTCACATTGTGCATGGACTTAGTGTGAACAGTCCACGGCCCTGAAGCGACCCCCACCAGTAGAAAAAGGCGTGATGTCATGGAGGCATGGTGTTGTGTTTACAGAAGTAAATTTATGGATGTGTATCTATTCTGAAGTTGTGCAATCAGAATCAGTTCTGCAATGCTTAAATAATGCCTTCTCAAAAAAAGTCAAATCAGAATGAAAATGCAAAAACAACACTTTTGTGTGACATTTTTTGTTTAATGTGTCAATTTTCTCAACCCAACCGCACAGCATCTTTGTTACTTTGCAAATGCACATGTGCTAACCTTTAGACCAGGGGTTCTTAAACGTTTTAGGTCTGGGGACCCCTTACAAGGGTGCAAAAATTCCAGGGACCCCCTCATAAACCCCCATGCTGTTTTAACCCCTAAATGCCATGGGAATATTTTTATTTTGTTTGCTATGTTTGTTTTATTAGTTCATTGTGYAGGGGAAAATGTTGTTARTTATTGAAAAGTTGCTAAATCATAAGTTTCTCGTAACTCATTAGCATGAAAGCGGGGCACCACCTGTAAATAACAGGAAATTAATCTCGTAATTTTACTCAAWCTCACTTACTGAAGAGCGGAATTCTTTTCAGTTTAGACGGCAAACCCTTTTGGGGKTGCTCTAAAACCRTAAATGAGAKGGTRTGCAAAYGTGTCTTTTTGAAGCKTCCTTGGGTGACAATATCTCAGCAGGAGATCTGGTCTCAAAAGGGGTTATAGATAGCAAAGCCACTTTGGGGAGACTTTAAGTCTGGMAAATGGGTGAGTCCTTCGTGATAAATGGCCATTTTGAGTATTTGAAAGAGATCTTCACACAGTGCTTAATCAATTGGAGTTTGCCATGTCCTGTTTATTTTACCACCTGTAGATAGTAAACAAAAAGGGTTTGGAGATAAAGATAATGAAAGAAGTCATTGTTCTCTGTAGACATGGGGATGAGTAATTTGTTGACTCAAGTTCTGAAGTGGGACTGTTCTTTAGGTTACTGCTACAATTGTTCTCCATGCATTTTTAAAAGTAAAAAACAAATGTACAATTTAGTGAAAAWTTTTGAGGACCCCCAAGATTCCTCTCACGGATCCCTGGGGGTCATGGGACCGCAGTTTGAGAACGTCTGCTTTAGACCATTATATGCTGATGTTGCTGAGCATAGGTGAAAATTTCAGGGAGGGTCGAGTGGGTCCAGATTCCCCAATTTTGCAAAAAATAAAAATAAAATAAAGTAAAATAAAATAAAATAAATAATAAACAGAGATTTTACACTCCCCAGCACATCATGTGAGAAAACTACTTTTAAGCAATACAACAAAGAGCATACCATTTATTTATGCAATGCATTGACTTTAAAAAATGCTGTCCCTCTAACGGTGGGTTTGYCCATTGTGCACTTTTAAAGAAAGACGTTGTGCTCCTAACAAMTTCTTGTTAGGGCAACGGTGGATAACTTCACTTCCACACAGGAGTACAGAATTAGATTCTTCAATGGGTGTTATAAAGTTATTATTAACATCCCCCTGAAAAAAAAATCCTGCATTAGTCAATAGTTATTTTGCTCCTATATGTTGTTTTTGGGGAAAAAAGAGTTGTTCAATTATAAAAACTGTCAATTTTTTGGCTAAAACATCAGCCTATAGCCTAGACAAAGACTTTGGATTGTTTYTTTATGCCCTATGACTGATGCCACAGCTGATAATGTACTAACTTATAATAACTATTTCACAGAACATCACCTCAAAGATAATAAGACTATCCCTTTAAGCTCTGGGTTATCACTGTCCAGCTTGTGCAATCTGATGGCCACAGGAAGGGATAATTTCCTGTCGGGTTCAGTGATGCGTYGTGGCCATTTAGTCTGTTTCAAACTGGCTAACATACAGTGGATTGGTTATCCATGCATGTTTTTAGTTTGAGCATCCTCCTCCTTTCAGACATCTCTGTCACTCTAACAGTCTCACTGGCTTTACAGATCTGTTTGTTGAACCTGTTTGCTGCCCCAGCTTGTTCTGACATAGAGCATAACCCTGGCCACCTTAGATTCATGTTACGTATCAAGCTTTTTCTGACAGATGTTAAAAAATTGCGGAGTTATCTTGGAAAATAGAGAAAACCCTGACACATTTTTTTCTGTAGAATGCAGTACTGTTCTTAGCCCTGACCAGTTTATTCTCTGTGTGCAATTCTAAGATACGTGTAGTCCTCCACACTGACCCACCTAATGAAAATAGGAGTCACAGGTGTCTTGGCCCTTTCTGAGTTCCTTAGTCTTTAATAGCTTTTATGTATTTTTGTGTGGCTGTCAGGAGGGGAGTCACTGAGCTTAAAGTGGGTTTTTATTTTCAAAAGTCATGGTGGGCTTTTATCCAAAATGCTGCCAGGCACTCACATGATTGCTTGGAAAGCAGTCTGTGGTGGCGTGACAGGTGCTCCCGAATGAGCCAAAAATTCTCCAGACTCCGAGCACATTATAAATTCMCACCGTTTTAGCTGCTGCTGCTGGTCTCTTTCTCCTCATCCTCAGTGGTAAAATTTAGTGCCAGGACTTTTCTCTGATGGCTCAAGCTGCAAATAAACTGCAGCAGGAAAGGGGAGCTACTTTCTTGTTAAGTTTTCAGCCTCAAATTTCTCATAYCCTAATCCTGTTAGCTTTTAGGACTACTAGTTAAATAACAAAGCTACCACCCAATTAAAATGGCTYTAGTTCTTTAGGAACAAAATAGGATTTGACTAGTCAACTAGTGGGAACTTTTGCATTTACTATTGAACTAGAGTGKTCAAAATGGTTTATTAGTGCAATTGGAATTTGAAATAGAATCCATTTAAAAGGTGGACAATGTACATTAATGAACAATTAAACAAGTTGATGTAATTGTAACTGAGTACCTGAATTTCAAATCAATCTAAAAATAATAAACGTTACATATTAAAATACAGATACATAAGGAAATTAAAATGGAAGGAATACATATCACCTGCCATCTGTTATGTCAGAGTTTTAAAAAAGATTATATTATGTTGCAAAGTGATAGAAATAGCTGTTTTGCTCCAATCTTGACAATAACATCATGAGCAAACATAATCATTTGCCGTTGCCTTTTGGTGGCAGGTGATAATCATCTCAAAGAATGAAAATCAAAAACTGACAAATAGCTTGTGTCATTAAAATGGGCTATTGAATGTTGGCAAAGCTGATTCTCTGACAGACATTTTGTTCACACTGCATGTGAATGAGTGACAGGACGAGGACTCTGACTAACTGTGACAGAGAATTCCACTGATGTGTTGCTGTGAATTAAAAAAAAAACTGTTTGACCAAATGTTGCTTTTCTAAATGGACATACAGTCTCCTCTGTCAGCTTCCTTTAGAGCTGTGTTGGCAACTGATCGGCTAAAGGAAGAAAAGCCAAACCAAGCAATTGGTGCACGTTGGGGTACTTGGTTATTACACAGCAGAAATATGTTTTTAGCTGTTTTAGTTTTTTATCTTTATTAGAAAGGTCAAAATAAGTTGCACATGTCAGCTACTGAGAATTTTGAACCAAGTAAGGTAAAAAAAGATGAATGAGTTGTCTTGAGAGCACTTTGATCTTTGTTAGTTTGGTCAAAATGAAGTGCAACAGTTATTTATTCTTATTCATTTTTATTAACCTTTATTTATATGATGGAGTATTAGGGCCACAAGAGATTTTTTAATTATCATTACGAAAATAAAGTCATAATATTACAAGATTAAAGTCATAGTTCTACGAGAATAAAGTCACAATATTATGAGATAAAAGCGGTAAAATTATGAGAAAAATGTCAAAATATTATGAAAAAAAGTCAGTCTTACATGACGTCCATTTTCTGTTCCTCATTTCCTCCTTATTTTCCTCACACCTTCTGTGGACAGCCATATGTCTCTGTGTTTATGAAGCAGTCTGCGATGACTTGGGTCACTGTTAGATTAATACGCTTTCATCCAAATTAGCTACATGATGACTAAACCTGTCACTGCATGCTTCCGTTCATCATATAGCCGTTTGCACAATTTCCAAGTCCTACTACTGATAATTTGATGCTAATATGCTGAAAGATTAACTATTTATTTTAAGCAATACTATAGAACAACTTGACAAGTTGCTCAAAATTCCTCATTTTAATGCGGTGGTAACTGTATGCTTTTTCGTGTAAATAGTATAGTATTACGACTTTAATTTTAAAATATTATGACATTTTTCTTATAATATTATGACTTTAATCTTGTAATATTATGACATTATTCTCATAATATTATAACTTTAATCTCTTAATATTACGACATTATTCTCACAATACTATGACTTTGATCTCGTAATATTATGACTTTATTCTCGTATTTAAAAAAAATCTTGTTTTTGGCCCTAATACTCCGTCATAAATCTAACCAGCCAAGTCCCACTGAAGTCCCAGATCTCTTTTTCAGGGACGGCCTGGCCTTACTAACAAACTAGCAAACATTTTAGGCACACTAGTTGACTATTAAACATTTTAGCCATATTAGTTAACTAGTACAATCAAAAAGATAGCTAATAGTATTTAAGGCTTTACTTGTTTACTATTCAAACTTTAGAATGCATTATTCACTCAGCATACACATTTGAGAGCCACTGTAATGGTTGGCAGAATTTGTGCTGACACATGTTTGGGTTTTTGATGTTCACACAGTGGTGTGTAACAGTTGGTGGCAGATTTGACCCAGAATGCAGATGAACAC